GCCACACCGACCCGCTTCTTTCACAGTAGAACAGTTTGTGTCACACCCTTTGTGTTCAACGGAGAATGCAAGTGTGCGCTCAGACTGTAATCAATTACCATGTATCATAACAGTTGAAATGTTATTAACAACCTTTAAAGCAAAATAAATGTGCCTGAAAATTACCACTTTCTGAAACTTATCATGTTAGTGTTTAATCATAATGAATTGTAAGGACACTGTTTTGTAAACTACTTCGTCGTATAGGATTTCAAAGCTGATAGCTACAGGTCATTGATTTTACCTGAGATAGGTCTTACATTTTTAAGTTCTTTAAGTTTTATAATTGATCATATCCAATTCGGAGATATATATATTGCCATCAGGCAATTCTGCATGATATTTGTTGTACGGTTAATATATCTTATCTTAAAACATATATCATTATGATATTCTTCTAGGATTAAATCATATTGTATGATGCCTGGAATGAGATATTTTAATACAAATGCTCGACACTATATGAGACTATGTGTTTAATCAATAAACTTTCCATTCTTTAGTTTACATCTTAGGCACAGAAGGGTCGTTCTTTCTTAGCCCCAACATCGTTAATTGGGTTGCTGGTAGGGCATACTGTGAAAATCAAAATGGCCGATTGGCAACGATCGACACTCGGGCCAAGTACGATGTAGTCATGGCTAACAATGAACAGTGTCCCAGTAACTTTATGTAAGTACGTTATACACCTTGCTAAAGTTTGTTTGATTTTCCGGAAAATATTTGACAATGCCTATCAGGTTTATCAATAATTTTATTGTATCTACATTTCGAGATTGGTCAAGCTAACAAGAGGCCAGTAGGGCTGATTTCACACCAGATAATTCTGCAAAGAAATGATTGCTTTTCTCAAAGTTGATGAAAATTATATTATTTTTACGGTCGTCATATTTATTTCACTAATAGATATTTCGTTTCTTCGTGCAATATGAAGCTGAATTAGTTTTATGCTCGTTATTTTACCTGTTGTTCATCTCGTTTTATATACAGTTGAAACTCGTTGTCTCGAAATCACCTGAGTCGCAATTCCGTTTTAGTTGAAATAACTTTTAAGTTTCGATTTTTTGCCTTCCAATGAGTCGAAAATTTGGTAGAGTCGAAGCGATTTTTCAGTCCCTTCTGTTGTAAAGCAAGGGAAAAGTCATTCGTGTTCTCGAAATTATTTTTTGTCAAAACATCGTTCCTTTCTGACGTAATCGATAAATACATATACAGCGTAGAAAGTCACCTGTGCGTAACACATGGCTAATTACAGCGTATCGGTCCATTGTAAACACAACACTTGGTATCTGGGGATTAATTGCCTGTTTACTTCTTCAAAGAAAGGTTGACTTCGTAATTAGTGTCACCATCCCGTATCAGTGACTTACTTGTACGTTAAAAAAGTAGCGCGTTTACACAAAACATGAAAAAACTTAGCTTGGTTGCGTGCATATTCAGAAATGAAATTTTTGACGAAAACGAATTTTGAGCTTCTCTATTAAAGGCCCATGATCGGGCACGTTGTCAGATTTAGGGTATGGTCAATGAAGTGCTGAAAGTATTTGTTTCATTGATAGAGTTTATGTGCTTGAATTAAGTCTAGTGCTTGTAGAATGTTTTCTGTAACAGGTAAAAGCTTTCTAGTACCGCGCTTTTTTATGCGTTGATTTCTTCAAGATGAAGTCATATTGATATGATCTATAACTTCATGCATCTTTTCTTGTAGCATATTTCGTTTTATTATCATTCCGTAAAATATATGATATATATGTGTTTGGTAAGGGCATTGTACACGTGTGCAGGACGGAACGTCGTGGTTACACATTTTTTGATTGGAGTTGTTAATACAAAGTCAAGAAACTGATATCGTCCACCTTATGTATACATTTCGTTTGAGTCGAAATTCGGAACAGAGGAACTGTTTTCCACAGTCCTTTGAATTTTGAACTAACTATTTTCGACTGTATTTGGCTTCTTTCTAAATATTCCTTTTGTTTACTGTCCTAGTTTTATTTGAAAATGAATTCGGATAATGACTGTTCATATGTTGGTACATTTTTTATGTCCGACGCACGTGCTAACACCAATGATATGTGTCTTTGTGAATTCTCTTATACAGATCAACTGACGATGTTTATATTGGCCTGTCTACAGCTACCAACAACTGTACTGACTATGTCTGGAGCAGTGGTGAACAATTAAGCTGGAGTAAATGGGACTCCACATTTTCTGAACCATGTTTTTGTAAAACTAATAAATGTGTTAGACTTTCCAATGGATCCTTTCGAACAACAAAATGACATCGCAAGAAAAAAGCTCTCTGCGAAGCATCGTGTTACAAAAATGCAACTCAGCTCAGTTATGATGAACTTCTCAAAACCATTGATCAGCTACAAACAGAGTTGTACATTCAGAAGAATGCTACTTCGACCTATCGTCGTAAACGGATTAGTGCTTACGAGTCAAGGCCATCTTGTATGTTCATGGAGTTTGTTGCCGCTATTGTTATATTTGGATTGATCGGGTGCATTGTCGTTCCTGACGCTATCACCATGTTGGTTTATATATCAAAATATGTCCACAAACGGAACGCAGTTTCCCCTTGACTTAATGTCTTATCGAAGCATATAGCTGTAGACTTCTCGTAATCTTAAGTTGGCTGTCAAACGATAATTCTTCAAAGATTTAAGACTATGCCATATACAACCTGTTTCCAGACAACTTATGCCATCACGTTGTTGTAACCATCTCGTAATGTGTGTTACCGAACGGAACACAGACTTTCGAATTGGAGTCTGGTTTAATTCCATAGGTATCTGTACACTGTTTCTAGGTGTGGCCATCGGTGATAGCTCTGTTCATTAGTTACATCATTATAAAGGTTTTAACTAAAATTCTAAAAATAAATACTTGCTAAAATTGGTCTTGTCATATTGAAGAGGAAATTGTGGGGTTTCATTTTTTGTCGGAATAATATTTAAGCTCTGCATTTGAGATTGTTATTTGGGCAGTCTCAAATCTGTGGTTTACGCACCAAAAATCAGCTTTACAGGAAGTGAAATTTTCATAGTGTTTATATGTGGTCATGTTATGAAGGATTTCCGAGTTGGAATTTGCTTAAATGTAAGTACTTTGTTACCATCACAGTGTTGTTGATTTTAAGATAGGTGTCTAGAAATAAATTTCTTCTATAAAGTTGTAGTGTTAGGTTGGAATTATCAGTATCTTGTACTTTAAGCATTTCAAGTAGGTAACCATGGTAATCACAAGTCAGAAATCAGAGGATTTTTTTTTTATTTACACAAATTTTAGCTCTCTACGATTAATGTAATTGTTATGTAGTTTATAAATATATATACATGTAATGATGTATTTTTCATAACCAAACTGCTATATCTGTATATCTCAAATATGATCAATAATTTCAGGAAAAATGCAAATTAAATGTTTCCTGCTACCTGTAGTTTTGATCTTAGTTATATGTTCTCTTTCAAATGTAGATGAGATGTATTGCTTCAAAGGAGGAGTGCCATTTTGGGCCTTCTGGTGGCCATGACGAATACTTTTTATTTTTTGTCTATTAAAAACTTGAGGTCAGACGGTAATGACATGACATTAATCTAAGGTCACCTCAAGGCCGTTCAGTTGTTATAGGGGGGACGAGTGGGGGATCAAATTCATAATTATTGCATAATTTTTAAATTTTTTTTCTCTTAAATGTCATTTGATGATATATTTCAAAACTTTCATTAGAAAAAATGACCAAAAATTATGCCATTGTTTAAAAGTAGGTCACGGTAATTAAGTGCCCTAATTACTATTACTCCTTTAAATCTTCTCTGGATAACGGACATACTATGGAAGACTTGTTCGATTTTTTTGTCTACTTTATTATATAACTACATAATGCAAAATCTTTTTAAAGACTTTGAATACTTTCGAATGATCATGCAGCGATACCCGTTATTGCATTCACAAGTTTATGCTGGACTAAGCGGTTCGACAGCACTATCTAAATCATCATGTACATGTAAATTACACCAAGCCGTATATAGCAAACCCTTATAACATAACAAACATCATAACTGCGGTCTAGATGCTAATATCGTGAATATTATTGCTGTATTTATAATTGCATTATATATAATGCTATTATCAGGTGATAATGAGCTTGATCACGGTCCAGTACCACCAATGGCTCACCACTCCAATGATTTTGATATACTTTCCTTATGTTATCTACATATTCCTCTGGCAAATTATAATTCTCATTCATCAACTTTTGACCTATGTTCACCATCCTCTTGAAAACACCAGTTCCTTTTTCCCCTGTATACATCACTATTCCCCATTCTATCCTGAAAGGAAGCCTTCGTTCTCATGTTATGAGAGTAAAGTAAACAAAGATACCTATATTTTGTTATGACAATTTCGTGAAAAATACGTCCATGAAAATCAAAGAGAATTATGGGGTTTCGAAAGATTCAGGTTGATGAAAATTTTGGGGAAGTTTTGCTGTCGTCATCATATATAGTTATTTCAATGAGAAACATTGCCTTGTTCTCATTCGAAAACGTGAAATTACTAATTTGGGTTGGCCATAATTATTTATTAATGGTCTTATTTGTCTTGTACTTTTTCAGGAGCCTTGATTTTTTGTATTAAAATGTTTCCAGTATCGAAGATTTATTTGCCTTTGTGATTCTTTATAAAAGCGTTTGACTTGTTTTCAATTTTTGTTGTCTTTACTTATATGAATACTTAATGCGTATTATGTTAAATTTCTTACTGGTTCAACAAATATGAAATTCGATATCATGAAGTCTGCTATAAAGCAGGACGATACCTTGAAATTGTTGTTATCTATCAATGAATCAAAATAATGATGAGAGTGTTAGCTTGAAATGCTGATACCGGAAACGGAATACTTGTTACCGAAAGTGGAGGATATATTATTACGACACCCGAAAAACAGAATCTTAAATGTCAGTATTCTTTATTTTCATTGTTGTTTCTTTCAGCATGACTGTTACTCCCTGGCAATCTAACGCCATTCCCCATTCGTAATTCGGATGACCTATCTGTCCGTTTATATTAAAAAACGTGCAGCTCCAGAACCACCAACCGGAAACCGGTTCGTGCGTTGTGAAACCAGTAGAACAGTTATTTACATCCGGTCTGTCATATGTAGCAAAAGGATGTCCATTGTTGAGTTGAAGACCGTATCCTCCTCTGGTACAGTTCAGTGACGTGTCATTGCCGACTGATAACTGGTAGGACGTGCTTGCGTTATTTACTTTGAAATCCTCATATGTATAACGGTACAGTTCACCAGCCTCTGAAACCATGTCAATGATGAGATTGACCCCATGTGATGTCAACATATGAATATATTCCAGGCCTAGCCAGAAGTCCCCATCTAGATCCCCAAATCCTGCAACGTAGTCAGCCCAATTTCGAGAGAAATTGACGTTGCCTTCCTTTCTATGTTGTAAGATTGTCCAGCCGCCATTTTCTTTTGTATCGTTCATGTCACAGGCAACTCGAAATGTCCGATCGTCTCCTGCTGGGGCTATTGTATAGAGGCCGGAGTTTTGAACCCCGCTTTCATACAACTGATCACATCCTTTAAGGATAAGAAAAACATATACATATTCGTACACTAAGATATGTTGCAAACATTCGTATATGATAGCACTTTCTTTGTTTTTTTTATTTTATTTATTTTAAGGAATACTGGTCTTATCGTGTTGAAAAAATAACATATGATACACCATTTATTTTTGTTATAGGTGCACTTTCTGGTATACCAGTATTGAATTCTGAGGGTTAAATGTTTGACGTTAAACATTTGAAAACTAGATCGATTTTGTCAAATTGTAGAAATATATCTCAATGATATTTATCGCAGTTCGGCAATATTTTTTAGAAATAACTGCCAATCAGTTGAAAGACTACTCTTGTAATATAACTAAGATAGTAACCGCTAGGTACCTGTACAAAGGCCATTCGTACAGTTGCGGATTTCGCTAGAAAGCCCATCACAGCCCTGGGAATATATATCTCCTTGGGGACTTCGGCAGAACCTGGCTCGGCTCTGTGAACCTTGTTGAGAACACCTAGCTGAACACGAGCTCCAAGAACCCCAGTCAGTCCATGATATCACATCTTGATTTGAAATATAAACTAATACTCTTCAGTTTGGTTTACTACATATGAAAGTAGCTATCATAAAATGCAGGAAGACTTGGTCTTACGATATGAGTTAAGAGTACCCTTGTAAAACATTCATTAGAAGTAGACTTGATTCAGGTTACAGTTTGAAAGAGAAATGCCATGACAGCAGAGCAGGTTTCCATTTTATTGAAATTCTGTCTCACTACCACTTCTTTCTCGTTCAAATGAAATATATATCAACATCACGACGAATTCGGAATAGGATCAACTGTCTCTTCACAGAGGTTACGAGTTATCTCAATAACTGTGGTTTCTCCATCTGTCTGGTTCAGATACGCATGATAGATAATACCTCTGTTCAAATTATATCAGGGGAATCGGTAGATGCATCCATCGCATCTACAACATTAATCCATCTATCGAGTTTACCATGTAAAGATCAGTTGAATGCAGTTTCTTATGTTGGACGTCCACGTTTATGTGAATTCAGATAGTTCGGCGAAAACTACGGCATACTGAAGGCTACACACACAGACAGTACCAAGCATTTGATTCCAACTTACCCCTTCAGCATAAACCAGGCTTGGTAACAACTTTGACCAACAGGGCTAGTTCAGCCATCCTTGAATATTAAAGGGTTACATACGTTTTGCTCTCTGCAACCCCGGTACATTTTCTTGCAAATTTGAAGCATGGATTTACTATCTGATTATGTCTGCTTATCTATGTATTGTGACGATATTGTCGTTCAGTACAAATACATTTTAGTACGATATTCATATGTATACAATTTTCGTATCTCCTTACCATTCTACATGAATTATCATTGACCTATACATTAAAAAGTGTCATCGCTGATGAAATGCACGTGATTGTGTTACCGTTCTCGTGCAGGTGCTGGCAGTCCCTGTTACAGAAGTCGATGGAGCAGCAGGTATGGCAGAGCTGGAAATCTCGAGGATTGAACTCCAAAGACCGGCCAAAAATTATATGCTCCCCAGTGCATTCCTTTTAATATTCAAACGACGTATATTAACTGTTTTAGACAGAAATTTAACAATATTCCTTTGTTACTTTTGTCCGATAAGTTCACATCAAAAATTAAGTTACATCTGTAATATTTTTATTCAAATATTTGTATGGAGGCAAATTTGATATGTAAATTAATTCAGGTTAGAAATGAATAAGACATTTGTATTATACATTATGAAAACGTGTTGTTTTTTACCGGTTTCCGCTTGCATCCACTTGTGTATTGGTGTCCGAAAGAGACGGATTCGTCTATGCTGCACACCTGAATATGCACGTGAAACAGCATCATATTGTAATGAAATTTACATCTTCCTACAAACAGTTTGTGTACATTCCACACAGTTCTGTATCATTTCATAATCTATGATTAATGAATAAGTCTCAAAATAATTTCACTGCGTTTATTTAAGATAAAAAAAAACTATCTTGAACCGAAAACGTATAAAAGATCGTTTGATTGCGTGATAATTTTTTTCAACATTATGTAATTGACTAATTTCATGAGCTCAGTAAGCAGTATCCACACTATATAAAAATGATAACGACTTATTTTTGTGACAGTATGCTTGATGATAGCATTAATTTTAAAAATAACTTATGACTCCCGGGTTTAAACATGTCCTGAATGAGCCTGCTCAATCATTTTTCCATGGAGTAACGATTATCTGTATCAATACGGACATTTTCCGTTGTAATGTGAACTTAATTGTCGTTTTGGGTGGTTCCTGACTCGTGTACAGATTGCAGGAAATACTCGAATGACTTCCGACAAGACATTGTCCACGTTGACCCTGACAATGTTTTCGTATATATTACTGTTGATAATATAATGGTACTTATTTTGACTGACACACTTTTTAAAATTGTAACGCAATATAATTTACATGTTAACAAAACAGCCCCATCACAAATTAGCATAAGCGCAATAATTTTATATTAACGGCAATCAAAAAACTGCAATGAGGAATAATTCTATATTAGCGACAATCAAAAACTGCAATGAGAGCAATTATATCGTTGCGAAATGTATTTGATACGAAAAACGAAAGTAAAGATCACCACTATAATAAGCGTTTATTCTAACATCTGTTTTGGATTGACTATTTTCTTACCTCGTTAGAGTTACAGATGGTAAGTCGCTCGCACTCTGTAGGATCAGCCATATGTTGACATTGGTAACAATACGGTCCACGTAATTCACGAGCAGGTGGGCCTACAGAAATAATATCAAAAACAAAAATAATGAATTTTAAAAAAGACACATCATAATACAGATCGCTGATTTTTTCTATTTATTTCATCTTTTTTAACAAAATATCAAAATGATTTTTATCAAATTCAAAATACACTTAAAGCAGTAAATGGAATCATCATTTGGCGTAATCAAAGTATAACTGAGAATTCAATCGCACGTTTAACAGATATTTCGCTTTAACAACTTTGCCTATAAAAGGGAGGAAACTTATTACAACGGTATACTACAAAACTGATCTGTTATTGCCGCGGAGTTCTTTTTTTAAAAGAATGTTATGAAAAAAAAACAACACATAGTTGTTTTAAACGTTTGTGAAAAAATCCAAATATATGCAAATGCACATTTGCTTGTTTAACAAAATACTGTATACTTTAAGCGTTTTCCAGTAACGTAATAGCTTAGTTGGTCAGGGACAGGGTTAATTTTAACCGTTATTCTATATTAAAATATCTAGAATGTTAAACAACTATATTTGCAGTGGTTAGAGCTGCTATCTTATGACATCATCCTGTCTTTCTTTAAACAAACTTCGTTACAGTGTATCTCGCAACAAGACTGACTCTCTTTGAACATTACAAGGCTTATGATATAGGATACAAGTACACTGTTCTCGGACAAGTCAGAAGTATGTAACTCCAGAGTTAGGTAACGTATATAGTATGAGCCAACAAGGGTTCACCATGTCAAGGCATTGGTTGTCATAGGGATACAATGTGTTTTGAGTTTAGGGTTAGAGATCACGTCGCCAGAACAGTGATGTTCGTCGGTGAGACAATGCCAAGAAATAGGACGAGGTTAAGAGACGCAAACTTGTACCAACCAACTAGCCTACCAGGGGGTAGACAGAGATCCCCACCGATTGGACAGATGACAGCAATTGCTTTGACGGCTTCCATACCACTCAAGAGTTGCTTCTTGTTTTTCACGCTTGAAACCTGAACTCATTCCGATTATATTTGACCTAACATACACCTACGTATTGTGAGAAATACAACCTTTACAATCCACAAAAGTACAAACCTGGGTCACCGCACCCCTTGTTGTTACACATATCTCCGTCACAACATTCCACACAAGTCACCTGACCATAGGGTGTCGAATCTCCGGAGGACGGTTTGGAGCTGCTGTCCAAAGTACAACTCTACCAACAAAATCCATTACTTAAATCCTGATGCTTTCAAAGTATATCAATGACTCATGCTGCTTACATTTAGTATGATGAAGTTGCTGTCACAAAACTTGTATCATTTTTCAAGTGAAAGTAGCGTTGTTATATAAAAAGGGAACATGAACATGTTTAATGTTGTTAAAATGCAAAAGTTATGAAAAACATGGTTGCATGCATAATCAGTAAACATTGTCATCACACCTGTAGTAGTTCCATATTAATTAATATGTGTATTTATAGGTAATTGTTACATATATCGATGTTTGTCTGATGTATCTGGTACATCGACTGATAATACCATGTTCGTTTTCTTACACCGATAGTTTACTTTTTTAAGTTTTAGGTATTTTTAAGTGATTTTTTTTTTCAAGAAAACGCTACTTTCTAGCCATGTATTGGTAAAGCGAAGTTAACAGAAAATAAGACAATAGTGTTTTTGTACCGCCCTCTAATTTAGCTGATATTTGTTACAAAAATTGGGGTTGGGGAGGGTGCAGGTACCTCATATACATTTACCTACCTGATTATGGACACAGCTTGAAGTGAATTGATTATGACCGTTATGCGTTCGTATTTTTTGAACAAGGCATCGCTGTAACATAAAAGGCGTTGCATTAAATAAAGATGTTTTTACATACCATAGAAAAGGCCATACCATGTTATCTATGAGTTGACACCATTAACAGTGCACTAAAAGCCAATTTCCCCCCTATCCATTGTTGGAAATGTCTTTGAAAGAATTATCTTAAAGCATTTCTACTATTGTTTTATTGTCAATTCCCTCTTTATGGATATATTTGGATATATAAAGTCGTATAATATTTCATGTGCATAATTTTTCTGGCTAGAAAAGCATTTTACTGTGTTTGTACTATTTATTTCTCATTAATATGTAGAATTTTTGGAAATTAAGAATTTAAATTCGGAAACTTTACTGATCATCGCAAACATTGAGTAATATCTTAAGTTAAATGATGAGCATCTACATGTACTTTCACGTGATGTTCTTTCAGAATTTTTCAAATGTTCATTTTACCAGTACTGGAATATACATTGTCCTTGAGAATTATGGGTAAAGTAGTTTGAATTCGAAAGTTGAGAAGGTACATCAACAAACTGCCCTTATTATCATGGGTATTCCATCATATGCCAGTATGATGATTTACACTACGTATCTCAGTTAGTTCATTACATCATGTAGCTTCGCTAGATTAATTTGTATTCTAATAATCCGATAATTTAGTATTGGTGATTATTTTACACACACGTCTTAGACACCATTGTTGTCCCCTTAATTATGATCTTTTGAGAATAAAGATATTCATGTATCCACACTTTTTATTTGTTAGAATTATTTTTACCTCACCCTCCGCACACTGAGTGTAGGTGTCGCAGAACTCTAGACGTGAAACGAACGAGCAGGAAAAACACTGCGGACCATCAGAAGAAACTGTCATCATATAAAAAGTTTAAGAGGCAAGGCTTCAGTTAGGAATGAAACATGTACATCAACAACGTTAACATTTGAAAATAAGTACGCCTTAAAGCATCATATTCCCGAAGGTGCTGAACCTTCGGCAGCGCGTCAGCCAATATTGATAATATCCAACAAAAGGTTTGTGGCTAGTAAAACAATTAATGTTTAAACATGAAAATGACATAAAAAAAGCATTAGATTGAAAAGGTCATTTCGTAAAGGTTTTAACATTTTCATCATTCAGTCCTGATTTATTTATTCATTTTTTTCATAAATCTTATTTTATTATACCCAATAGCTACCTTTTGAGTAAGATTTTTCTGTATCTTAAGCCACGCCATTCAAAATATTGTTTTCCATATTAGCTAACCGTATTTCTGGTCTGTGGTATCATTATTTATAAGTGAGAAAAGTTCAAGATGCAGTTACAATAAAAACATCGCATATCAGATTAAGTTTCTTTTATGTAGGAATAACCATGGACTTGCAACAACCCATACTTTAATTCCTCCTCTATCTTCTTCTTCTTCTTCTTCTTCTTCTTTTTCTTCTTCTTCTTCTTCTTCTTCTTCTTCTTCTTCTTCTTCTTCTTCTTCTTCTTCTTCTTCTTCTTCTTCTTCTTGCACCATTCCCATTCCTGTTTTACATGTATATATAAATGTCAAAACAGTATCCATTTCACAACAATTCCGAAACAAGCTACAAGTCTGTATTAATTACTCTAATCTTGTCATTGGAAATTAGGGTACCGGAGAAAATCCTTGTGATCGGGAAGGATGCCTTTCCACGTCCGATTGGAGAATCGAACCCCTGTCGCTTCGGTAAAAGGCGAGTGCACTGTCTGATGTCGATGAGGCCATTGATAAATTTGTAATGCATGACTTGCTAGATCTGAATTCTGCGTTCAATGAGACTGCTCTAATTGCGTTTCTGAAGCATCCCCGTGACACTTCTGTTATAACCGGACAAGGCAGACCGATGGGCTTTCGTTAGACCTGTATTAGTTTATCGAAGCATGGATACACAAGTCATTATTGGACGAAATGTGGTTGTGTACAGCTAGCCTTTATATAAACTGACCATCTTCTAACGATCCTCTGCACGATGTCGTGGTGGCCATCGTCTTTTTACCTGTCGGTCATGTTTGCTCCAGGGAAGATTGTTCTGTATATCGGGTTATAAGCATGGTCAATAATTATATGAGGCAATTCAACTAATTTTCCCCTACATCATTGGTTTAATTTTAAACGAGATAGTCTGATGGTTAATTGATCTTGGCTATCAAGATCGATAATGTGGTCAAACCAATAGTTCCAGGTTTTTGTCACCGTTTGTTAAGTACCTCTAATATTCATGAAGTACTTGGCCGATGTGTGTGTGTGTGTGTGTGTGTGTGTGTGTGTGTGTGTGTGTGTGTGTGTGTGTGTGTGTGTGTGTGTGTGTGTGTGAGGGTGTGTGTGTGTGTGTGTGTGTGTGTGTGTGTGTGTGTGTGTGTGTGTGTGTGTGAGGGTGTGTGTGTGTGTGTGTGTGTGTGTGTGTGTGTGTGTGTGTGTGTGTGTGGTGTGTGTGGTGTGTGTGGGGGGAGGTGGGGGGTGTGGGTGTGTGTGTGGGTGTGAAAAGCTGTTTAATATACTTTTTAACCAAAAAATTTTCCCTCAAGATGGCAGCTTCGATTTAGCTTAAACGGTGCGATGTAATATTACAACTTCATTAAGGAAATACAAGATTTTCCATGAATAACACACATTCGGCATAACCATTCGGAGGTAGAAACTAATAACAGAACCGTCTCCGGATCTGACTAACTCAAAAGGTAACTATTGTTTTATAAATAATTATTTGTTGAATTGCATTCATTTACCTGGAAATACTGTATGGATCAGCAGTAAAGCAGTAAGAAAAATCATCACTGAAGCAGAAAATTTACAGGTGGTAGTATTTTCCATCAACACAAGATCTATAGGAATAGACGTTTGATAGGTTGACCTATGCGTTTCCTGTGCTCCATTCTAAATATGCTTATCTAAAATAATTCATAAAACTTTCAAGTTATCGTTTCAGCAAGTGTGGTCTGAGAAACATTTGTAAAAGCTATACATGCCACATAATTTAATATTACCCAACTGAAACATGTATTCGAAGTCTGTTACAGATTTTGGAGAGTGATGTATATATGTCTCTTATTGTGTTAGAAAATGTAAAGAAAATTATCATTTCTCGTACTACTCAGATAATTTGTAAATAGCGAAATACAAAGCATTGATGCATGAGTGTGACTGGAAGACGGAACAAAATTGACCCCACAGACGTAAAATGATAATAATTAGAAGTCAACAAATTGGTGATCACTTTCGCTACATGTTTGATTGTATATCACTTCAACACTTAAGAATAGCGTACAAAGATACATAGTTGTGGTCAATACCAAACAGGTTTCAAAAACTGATAAATACTAACAATATAAAAAAGTACAGAAACTGTGTGTTCTTATTATATATACAATCCTTCACAACAATGTCAGTTCTTACGAAAGCAACATGTAACACTGATATTATAACTTACAAGTATCGTGTTATATTCCTTGTAAAGAGCACTCCATATCTATTGTTCGCAATATGTCAATCTATTTCGCTTTACACGAATTTGAGAGAGAAAAGTAACTAAATTAATACAAGGGCAGAAAGGCCACAATTATTTTTAACAATAAGGACTTACTGTAATTGTCGTGACCAGTTTACCACGTGGATGATATGAAAGAGAGGGGTATATATGTATATGCGTTTATAGGAAAAGTCGATTTAATCTATATATAGACATATGCAGATAGACTAATTTTCTGTCCGAAACACCTCTTAATTGTGACTAAGAAAAAAAAAGAAAACAATGATATATTATTCCTAAAAATTATATTCATATCATAAGTAAAATGTATATAGAAAATTTCAGTAATCTATATAGTTACCTGATTATGTTGCATGCTAAGGACAGTTTTTCCGTGGTATATTTATAGATAAGGTCTATTACTAAATGGACATGTAAACACAATGATAAGAACCATTGACAAAATTGGCAGCTTGTTTGTGTGTATTAAGTAATACCATCGGCTAGTCTCCGATTTCTGTGTCCACGTTTCTGGTTCTTATCTTGAATGTCATGTCCACGTTTAAGATAACGGTCAAACTAGACACTACCATGATAACTATTTATGAAGCGTTAGTGTGAAACTACGGTAACTTATAGGTCTCATCTTCACTGTGTTGCATGCGTTACCGCTTTGGCATATCGATAGTCTCTACCACTATTACCTACTGAACCTTAGAAATACAATATCATTTAATCACAGAAACATCGCAAATACCTTTATATCTTTTGAATGTCATTATCGAACCCTTATATTAGAGATATAGTGTTTAGTTTGTACTTCAACCGCCACGAGCTAATTCAATTTTTCGGGTTTCGGCACAATGTCAATGTGAATGCATTTTTAAATACAATGGCTCACGTACCTCAGTGACGAATTGTCTGATGAGGTTGTCAATGAAATATTTTTCGGCAGCTTCTAAATAACTAAACAACTAAATAAGCACGGGAGGAATCGCTTATATTAATTCGTATTGTGTGTTATGGTTATGATATGGCTAGGCGGATGATCATGCTATAAGACAGTACGAGTTGTCTCCCTTCATAGTGAGTTTTCCAGATTTTATTGTTTCCGGATTATTTCTGTGACCGGTTTTGTAATTTTTTTCAACGAGAGAATAAAATGGATAAACAGAGCTGGGACGTGTTGTCCTCGATCAGCCAAGTCTGAGTATAATTCCCCAAACCAACAGCGTTGCCACGCTACATGTGATATCGTCTTGATAAATTCTCCTTACTGTGATATCGTCTAGATAAATTCCCCTTACTGTGATATCGTCTAGATAAATTCTCCTTACTGTGATATCGTCTGGATAAATTCTCCTTACTGTGATATCGTCTAGATAAATTCTCCTTACTGTGATATCGTCTGGATAAATTCTCCTTACTGTGATATCGTCTGGATAAATTCTCCTTACTGTGATATCGTCTAGATAAATTATCCTTACTGTGATATCGTCTGCATAAATTCTCCTTCCTGTGATATCGTCTGCATAAATTCTCCTTACTGTGATATCGTCTGCATAAATTCTCCTTACTGTGATATCGTCTGCATAAATTCTCCTTACTGTGATATCGTCTGCATAAATTCTCCTTACTGTGAGATCGTCTAGATAAATTCTCCTTACTGTGATAAAGTTTGGATAAATTCTCCTTACTGTGGTATCGTCTGGATAAATTCTCCTTACTGTGATATCGTCTAGATAAATTCCCCTTACTGTGATATCGTCTGGATAAATTCTCCTTACTGTGATATCGTCTGCATAAATTCTCCTCACTGTGATAAAGTTTGGATAAATTCTCCTTAATGTGATAAAGTTTGCATAAATTCTCCTTACTGTGATATCGTCTGCATAAATTCTCCTTACTGTAATAAAGTTTGGATAAATTCTCCTTACTGTGATATCGTCTGCATAAATTCTCCTTACTGTGATAAAGTCTGGATAAATTCTCCTTACTGTGATAATGTTTGGATAAATTCCCATTACTGTGGTATCATCTGGATAAATTCTCCTTACTGTGATAAAATCTGGATAAATTCTCCTTACTGTGATAAAGTTTGGATAAATTCTCCTTACTGTGATAAAGTTTGGATAAATTCTCCTTACTGTGATATCGTCTGCATAAATTCTCCTTACTGTGATATCGTCTGCATAAATTCTCCTTACTGTGATAAAGTCTGGATAAATTCTCCTTACTGTGATATCGTCTGCATAAATTCTCCTTACTGTGATATCGTCTGCATAAATTCTCCTTACTGTGATAAAGTCTGGATAAATTCCCCTTACTGTGGTATCGTCTGGATAAATTCTCCTTACTGTGATAAAATCTGGATAAATTCTCCTTACTGTGATATCGTCTGGATAAATTCTCCTTACTGTGATATCTTCTGGATAAATTCTCCTTACTGTGATAAAGTCTGGATAAATTATCCTTACTGTGAAAAAGTTTGGATAAATTCCCCTTACTGTGGTATCGTCTGGATAAATTCCCCTTACTCCTTGTATATTACCAGAAAATTATTTTGGCATCCGAAATCGGAATACATATGAAGATGATTATTTCCTGAAAAAATGTATGTCTGGGTTTTAAAAGAGCAACATTTTCAAAATTATGAAATAAAAAACTTCTTCATTGTTCATAATTAGGACAATCAAAGTTTAAAATGAAATGCGCTTTCACATTGTTTCAACATTGGCATCGTTGTCAGATTTACACGAAATTAATAACAATTCAAAATCCAACTTTGATGACTTAGTTTTGTTTGTATTACATTCAACTTCCCGTCAAAAAAATGCAATAAACATGGGTTTTGAATGATTTGGAGTTACAAGACGGTAAAGGTCTAGATGTACCCACAAGTGTATTCTAAAGACGAGGTATGGAATGAAGGTGGTTACCAAATCTTTTGCAAATCAATATCTCGTGAAATTCTTAATCGATAAATTCAGTATTTGTCTTGTAATTTTTTCAATATGATACTGAAAAAGTAATTCAACAAATGAAACTCATCACGCATATTTCAAATAAAACCTTTTATTGGATTATTTTAAATGCTTTTGTTTATTTTCGTCAAATACATTCAGACTTTTGCGTTTGCGGCGCTGTTAATACAAAGCGTATTATCGCAATATAACCTACAAAAAACTGGCAAAGATATTTCATTGTCACCAAGACAATACAATTATACAATATGATACAAAAACATGCTTGAGTTTTAAGTATATTTTATCAACAACAACAAAACAAATTTTAAAGGTAAATAAACAGTGTATTCTAGCTCTGAGACATAAGATGTATTGATTTTCAATCTTCTGTGTCTATATTTATTATTTATTTATCGATCTAATTTTGAAATATATTCATGAAAATTACGTATGTCTCGTCAGAATTGAAATGAAATAAAGTAATTTAATTTAATTTAATTATTAAATACCTAGTTTTAATATATTGATATGGTAAGTGTGTTACAAATACGCTATTTCAATATCTAAACGATAGCTATACATTAATTGCCTGTTTTTCTATCATCATGCTATGTGCAATCATATTGAGTGCTAGCGCAGGCTTAGGTCTGTCAACGGTGAACATATGTACAACACGTACCGTAAGTTAAGGAATGGACATTTCAAAACGGAAATACATGTATCCCAATTGACGTCATGTTCTAAGTCTACATATAGACTTATCTCATATCTAGGTATCATAAAATTATAATACAATAAGTTTCATTCTGTGGAAATTAGAAATATTGGTGTATCCAGTACACTACCTGCAGAAATTTAGACACATTATCATCATTATCGGTTCGAATCGTCGGTTCACTTACAATATTGAATCATGACGTCATATTTCCTCGCTCTCGTATTTCCGTGATATTTCTCTTTCGTCCAGATTTTAGAAAACCAGATTTAATAGCACCAATCATGAGAACGATACTATCCAACAGCATATACTCATTATAGAATATGACATAATACAATATACACATACATCGTTTTGTCCAAAAATACCAGCACTAGTTTATTGTGCGGATTTCTACATGAACTTCATTTGCAATCCAGCGGATGAATACATTATCTAAAGATGTCATTCTGTAGTACATCTATGTCTGACACAAAGGATTAGATCATATCAACACCATTGAAATTGTAGATACTTACCAAATGCCACACGACATGATAAGGTAGAGCATTCAAGAAGGGTCCGATTATAATTTATCTTATATCATGCAATGTCGTTGTTCGAGTGATGATAATTTTCTCCCTATTTCGAGTCGATATAAAATCCACATAAATAAACACATGTAAGTGTCAGTTAAGATATATGTCACTTTAAACAATCGGTAAAGGAGCTCGTCAAATGAAAAACATTAAGCAACAAAAAATATTACCCCTTTCACATTACCTAACTATGAATTATATTCCAATGTATAAGATACTACCGCAAATAACCCTGTTACATCCGAACTTTAGGACAGACAATGCCTGCTATTTGTCTTGTAAGCAATAATTATGAACAATACCGATACATAGTTTATATTTGGAATTATGGCCATTATTTACATGTATACAACACACACATACACACACAGAAAGATGAGTAACAGAAACACATGTTTTAAAATCAGTCAAATAAGTGTAAAACGAGTATGGGGTGAAGTCACAATTACTATTAGAATTGCATTAAATATTACAAGGTTTGTTATTACAATCATATATCACATGTACATTTTTAGAATTCAATTTTATCTGCCAGTATACTTCTGTAGATAGTATGACGTCACGTCACATTGACGGTGTATACCATGACGTCATTAACGCAACAATACATTATGAAAATCACTTTAATTTAAGTGATACCTCTATATTTTTTACTCCAACTGATTTCACTTTAAAGGACATTTCCTTGGATTCCGGATGAATACCAAAATTCAGAATTCGAAAACCTATCATTTGAATTATGATTTTCATTTCTTGGACAAATACAGTTGAACCTTGTTTACCCGAACTCTCCTAACTCGATTACCCTATTTAATTCGAAGTAATGCGTCGGTCAAACTTCACACTAAAATTCGAACTTACCTAAATCGAAACTCAGATATCTCGAAGAAATCCCACAGTCCCGCCGACTTCGAGATAACGAGGTTCAACTGTATTGAAGATTGTATCACTAACTATAAATATGTCGATCCGTTCGACTTTCTGTTAATCTCTTTTTCATGAAGATTTCTCTCTAAACTGGTATTTTACAATTATAGTCCATAGTTGAGGTCAACATTGGTATCAGTTAACCCTATCATTGTTATATTAACCAATTCGAAGTAACTTTTAGCTTCACATTATTAACATATACGTATATACAAGTATACCTATTCTTCGAAACTGGAGACGAAACACATTTTATTTCATGGTTTAAAACGATTTGATATATGTGTTATCTTTGTCATTAGGAGAGTGGATCTGAAATTGATCCAGCCAACTATTATGTCACCGTGTCATGAAATTCACTGCAACTGTTATGCTATAAACACAGCATCACAAACAAACACGTGATATTTCAATGAAAATTGCGAATTTACAACACTTTTTACCAGTTGTTCCACTGTCTCTGAACTCGTTTAGGTTTTGTCACCACCTGTACATCTTCTACAAGAGTGCGGGACTGTATAGATGATAATTATACGATATTTATAATGTACTACAATGCATATACAGAGAAGGTCTGTATAATGTGAAATAATTTTCACACAAACACAAACCAATTAATTTTTCCTCTTCAAATACGACTCAATGAAATGTTGAAGCTATTTTGCTTTCATTTTTACAATGACGTTCATGTTATAAACGTCACAAGTTTATGTAATAAACGTCACTGGTTAACGGTGAAATTGAATGCGCTAGTGCAGTTTATGTCACCAGGACTGCTGATTACGTCACGAGTTTACATACCATATGTTACAAGTAAAGTTAAACAGCGCACTCTATTTTAGAAAATATTTGAAATGGCGCACGGGATAAACGCAATATCTCCGTCACTGTGAATATTACACATTCAGTATTTGAGGTTTAAGAGTATAACTGCGGTTTTCTCAAAACTGTTGATTTGTTAAAAAGCTGAATTTCACTTTTAAGTGTTTGTCTAATGGATGACGTCAAATATGGTGAGCATTTGTTGTCTTTTATCACTCATATGCTTCCTTTTTAGCATTAATGCTAATCTGACGTCACTTCCCTTACGCGAATTTTGCTTCAAAACATTATTTGCATATCTGGATTTTATTCTACCATGACGTCATATCTTACATCACACCTCTCCTGCTTCAAAACATGTTTTGCAACACAAGCCTTTGTTTTATGCTACGGTGACGTCACATCTGCCACCATAACCATCACACAAATCCTGCTTCCAGACATGATTCACAACACAGGTCTTTGTAGTATCTGTATTTACAAAGCGTCGTCTTCAGAACCATGATACAATGACTGTATTTGTCTACGCATTCTGTCAAAATATAAACATAACATTTATTTGCATATGCTAAATTTTGATAAGACTTTGTGTAAAAATTTATTCATAATCGTATTATCTTTTTGAAAGCAAGTATATATGAGGCTAAAATTGAATATGTTCATCTTATTCCTTTCCATTTGCTATACAATATCTGGAATCAAAACATGAAATAATCAAAACATTTTGTAAGTGCGGCCATTTCTCGTTACCTCATCTTTACATTGATATTTCCTGTTGTGGCATTTTTTCAAATCAATACGAAATATCCCTTGTATCAGTTAATACAAGAATGTTTATATATAATTCCGAATATAATCTGATGACATACAGTGTAACCTTAGAATGCTTTGAAAATATAATTCAACAAAACGCTTGGATTTTGACGCATGCGTACGTTTTTGTTCCTGTGGAGGAGGTACACTGCATGCGTCTGTGTTGCATGGTTCTGTTGTTTCTGGTTGGAGAAGCGGATCACATCCGCCTACAGGTCTGTAGTTTCCGTCGAGACATCGGACCTCTCGAGAACGCACGCCATTTCCGCAAGTTACAGAGCACTGAAAAGAAGAACAAAAATCTACATTATAAAAATCTCGCGAAAGGTAAAATGGTACATGTGAAACTTATCACCACTAATACGGCCATCCTCGATACCCCAAAGCTTACGATCACAGTCGCTCTCTGCACCCTTGGAACATGTCATGGCAAAATTGAAGGCTCCATGTGTGACATCTTGTGGACAAAAGGAAAAGACTAGATTGATTCTTTGATGCACATCAAGCGAATTTTGAGGTTGCATAACAGTATATTGTAACAGCTTTGATGTCTCTCCTTTGTAATCTTTAAAGGAGCGTTTCAGTCTCTGATTAGTCAGTTTATTTTTTCATGGAACCAATCTAATTCCTTCGCCTGTGTCTTTATCTTGCCATGACATGCTCCAAGGGTGCAAAAGTGATCGTAACCCCTGGAGTAACGAGGACGCCAAATTGTACGTACAGTGCAACTAAGGAAGCTGCTTTAGCAACTTTGATACGATTTGAAATGACGTTGTCAGTAAAATGACGTCATTGATATGTCATTCCCAACAGTGACAAAAGTAAACCTGTTCTAAATTCCATGAAAACGTTCGACAAGGTCAGCCATTGGTTTCTCTTAGTAACAAAATACAGTGGTTAGACTTCACTTGCTATGAATTTAATCAATAACGATGGTTCTAATCAGACACGGTGATGTATCATTAATCTTGAATACACGAAAACGTTACAGATATGGTTACCTGTCCCCACTCTGACATAAACCATTCCGGCATACACCTGGTCAGCAGACAGGAAGTAGTAGTCTCTGGCTTATTTTCCAAATCACAATAATAGTCGGAGATGACGTTCGCCATCCCATTGGTGTCTTTCCGCACGCACACAACTGCCCGGGTTTTACTTCCGGTTCCACAGGTGACGTTGCACTTTGAAATAAAAATGGCGGTGAGCTACATTTAATGAAAGGAGCGTTGTTCGCATTCCATTTATTTAAAAATGACAAATATACTTACTGTAGATAAGCTTTTGTTCATTTTTCGGAATTTTTGTTTTTCGATACTTACTTCTACAAAGAGAAATCTTTAAGATAGTTTCAACTTAGTATTTTTAGAATTAACATGATTGGATCAGTACCTCGTTCCACGGACCGGTAAACCAGTACGCTCCACACATTCCCCTTTTCGTGCAAGGTTTAGAGCCGGAAGGTTTCATTGATACAGAGCATGATTGCTCTGAGGTAGCGTAACCGTCCCGTCTCAAACAGGCGATCTTTCTGGTCTGTGTTCCTTCGCCACAGTCTACAGGACACTGGACAAGAGGAAACATAATAAACATGGAGAAATATTTGGTAGTGTAGGAATGTACAGTAGATCGGATTCTTCATTTCGTAAACGCACTCGATTGGATTGGTGGATGGGTGGCTTATATTTATATATATGGCATGTAAAATGATTTTCGTGTACAACTAGTATATAAACAAAGTGTATGAAAAAGCCAAGAGGAAAAAGAATACGTATCGAGATTCTAAGCGATTACTAAGCGACGCACATACATGCACATACCCCACTTTGCCACTGTGTGTAGTACCAGTTGGTGGCGGAGCTGTCTCCAGCAGGGATATTGTTGTAACATTCCGACTCGAAGCAGGAGGTCGAGGACACCGGCCGAGGATCTTGACGGCACGCGCTTTCCACCACAGCTCGCCCGTTTGTCGTCATGCAATTTACTGGCCTTGTTCGTGTTCCGGAACCACAGGTCACGGAACACTGGAAAACGTATTGGACCAATATTCAGCACCAAATTCTTTTTTTTTTTTTTTCTCATTTTTCTTCATGTTAAAAGACTCAACAGAAATAATCGACGTTGCATTTGAGTACATTTTCACTTTGATGCTGATCTTTATCATCTTTACAAATTATCACTCATAATATTTTGGACAGCTTAGATAGGGCCTCGGAATATACAAGTAGGTAATAAAGGTACAAGAGTTTCGATCTCCACAATGAAAAGCAAGCATACATGATACAACATACAGCGTTTTCTACATTTCAGATTTTCGTCAGGGAATGCGCCGAGGAAGTTTTATCCTTCTTGCTTGTTTATTTCAATATCATTCCGGCACAAGGACTTCACATACTTATCTTACCCTAGACCACTGTCCAGTACTCCATCGATAACATTCATCCTGTCTGCAACTTCGGACAACATTCGGTTTAGTTGAATATGCGCAGTTCTCTGGTCTGACTTCAATGGCACTGTTGTATTCTAAATCCTTGAAACACCGGACGTGACGTCTTTGATCCCCGGACCCGCACGTGACGCTACAAGATGACCAATCAGAAGCCTCCCATCTTGCAGGCCTGGAATGATGGTGCCAAGAAATGATGTAAGGGTCTTTGAAATTTATTTACGGTTTACAGTGACCTTGTAGTTATCGAAACTATACTCAAATCTTCTACTGGTTGTGTTATAAGAACTTTTATTCTATTGTAAGTGCGTCCTTTTCTTATATATATATATATATATAGATGTGTACATGTATAGCACATCGAAGTGCATTTTTTCTTAAAGTACCAGTTTTAATTACTTTTATGCTACGTAAAACAAAACTTCGACTTCGTGTTAAGTTACTAATAAAGCATATCTGCCGCCATATGTCATTATTCGACAACTAAATTGACAGGTCAATTCAAACTGAATTCAAACATAATGAACGAAATGGACGCCGCTTTTGAAAATAGATTCGACTACACTTTGTGTACATACAAGTAGATATCATGTTCGGTTCTCAGAACCCACTCATCTCGAATTATTTTCTAATGAATACTAACCGGTCGTTCGGGCACGGACGAACATTGCATGGAATGGCATCCCGGTTTGGCATAGGAATATTCCGACACTTTGACCGTCTGACCGGCGAACCAAATGCAGTACATTTTAGATCTGGTCTCTTGTATCCTGGAATCAATATTTTAAGAGGCAAATGGGCTCAGGGGACACGCTATATATCCAAAAGACAGGGATTGTACAAACAAAACAGAGGTGTTCCACATGCGTAGTAAACCGTAAATAGTTATCGAAATCCACTCTGTATACATTGTATTACATAATAAATGACGAGATATTCTACACATTAATACAAAATTGTGCCAAATATAATCATAAGTGCCGAGACGTACCGGTAATACAATGATGACACAGGTGCACTATTTGAATTTATTGAACATCTCTTTGATGTGATATTTGAAATCAGACATACGCATATAAATCTTCGCTAATTCTGAAAACTGAGTTCTTACTCCATGTATAAGCTTGCTCACCTGTTCCACAGGATCTGCTACAGTCTGTGTATCCAACAATTCGCCACTGGTATCGTCCGGATATTGCATCTCCGGAACCGGAAACGTATACGGATTCTTCTGGATTTACAACAATAATATTGTCATTTGTTCCAACCGTATCTGCCAAAGGCGCATTAACAAATTCACCGTCACCGCTTGTGTATCCATTATTTTGGTGTCCATTGTTTTGGTGTCCATTATTTTGGTGTCCATTGTTTTGGTGTCCATTATTTTGATGTCCATTATTTTGTCGTTCCCTCATTTTATCTATATAATCAAAACTCTGTGTGTAACCTGGAGTCCTTGTTTCTACATCTGCTCCCGATATGACGGAATCAGTTTCGGTATTGACTTCCTCTTCCGTATTATCAGTTATTATCGTTGGCGCAAGTTCCGCTTCCGGTCCTAAAAATGTGTCTTGGACAATAACGGCGCCGTCTATTTTCACGTCTGTTTCATTACTCCCGTATTCAGTGGAATTGAAATCCGATTTTGAAGTCACGGTCACAACTTTATCATTGACGTCATAGTCGACGTCATCGTCCGACTGATCAAATAGGTCGGTGAAGGTCGGAGTAATATCCTTCAGTGCGTATGAATTTAGTGTCGGAATGGGTTCCGTCTGTATGACTGGCTGGGCATATCTGTACATTATTCCACTGTTTTGTCCAAATGCTAAAACCTATGATAATATTAAAAAAAAATTGTTTAAACAAAAATAAGATAAAAGAAAAACCAAACAAACAAGAAATACATTTCATATACAAAGTACAAATGTAGTAATTTAATCGTAACGTGTATTTCGGCGCCTTTTATCCTTGAGAAATCTTTTCAGGAATAGATTGTACAAAAAATAATTTCTGAAGTCAATTTATTGGTATTAATCAGCGATTTTATTAAGGATTTATTGTTTTAACTATTTTGTTCGGGTAATCAGGGATAACAACAATCAGACTAGGATGAACTGAATATCAGGGTCATGCATGTGTTTCCATTTGGTATGTGGATTTTTGAAACGAGTAGTAAAACCTTTGACTGAAATGAAAAAAATCATGACGAGTTTCATAAGCCTCATGATATTTTTTTTCAAGGAGATTACATAACCTCCATAAAAATATATTACCATGATATCAACATTCTCTGTTGTTGGACCGTCCGAAATGATGCACTCCCCAGGGCATTTGCGCGTGTACCTCCTATGGTAATGAAATGTAGTCCCAGCCCCTGTGATCGATCCCTGACGAGACAGGCGCCTGTTACCATTCATGAAGTAGGGTCCGTCCTTGACCTTTAAAGCTGAAAAAAACAAATGCTAGTAAGTTGGGAAGGCATTATTGTCTTATAGATATAATTTATAAAAGAAATTCAAATTTTCCTTGACAATTGGGGTTTTCCGAATGTTTTATAAGAAATGTAGCAATGTAAGGTTTGCGCAATGCTTCGTCACCGCGCTCTCTCTAGGGAATCGAGAAACCAAACAGAGATGCATTTTTCTTATCTTTCTTTTACAAATGTATATTTTATAATGAATTGTCGGACAAATGTATCTATCTGTTGGTTACGATCACTTTCGTTCTCTACTCCCCTAGAACAAGTGACAAAACTGAAGGCACATACGAAGTAATTCGATTGGTTCGCGGAGAGAGAAAAAAGACTTATAACAGGCCGATATGCTGCTTTTGAGGGTTACAAAGGAGCGACATCCAACATATAAACCATTACAAAATCCTGTTATTCGACCTCGAAATTTAATGTACATCCAATGAACTATTGTTTTCGTTTTGTCTACAAGACGTCGCACATGAAACCTTCAACTTTGACATGACATGTTCCAGTGGTGCAGAGAGTGATACTGATCGTACCCTGAAGTATCGGGCATGTTGATCGCTATGAATATTGCCAATGGGAAAAAACAAACAAACAAACAATCTTACTAATCCAGTCAATCAAAGGAATTTACAAATCCAGCCAATGAAAGGAATTTACCAATCCAGCCAATGAAAGGAATCCAACAATTCAGCCAATGAAAGGAATTTACCAATCCAGCCAATGAAAGGAATCTAACAATCCAGCCAATGAAAGGAATCTAACAATCCAGCCAATGAAAGGAATCTAACAATCCAGCCAATCAAAGGAATTTACAAGTCCAGCCAATGAAAGGAATTTAACAATCCAGCAAATTAGAATAACTTACCTATATAGTTCCTACTTCTGGCCAGCTGTGTTATGTTGATGTAAGTGGATCCGGCGGGTAGAGTATGCACAAAGCTATACCCATAACTCAACTGTCGTTCGTCCTTCACCCCAACCATAATTTCGCATGTGGTGCCATCTCCCCCACACACTCCACACCTATCACTTGTTGTGTGCGATCCAACAATCCCGTCACACCCAAAACCCTATCAAAATGAACCGATATTAAGTCATCGCTAAAACGGGTTTTAACACAAAATTATGTGCAAGTGTATCTGCCTAATTGTCGATGTTCTGTTTTGTATAATTTAGCAAACTTTGACTAACTGCAAGTATTCTTATTTTTGCAGAATTAAGTATAGTTGGACATGTTGACAACAGTTTCCATGTGTAAAGGCTTAATTGCATTTTAGTATACATTGGGTCCACGTACATATAGTATTTTGAGTATTTGAGATAATAAATTTTAAGGGTACATTTTTTTCTGCCGACGTGAAGTTGGGTGATGAAAAGCACTTACATCGTCGTGCCTTCTCATACTTTAAAAAATATGTATTTTCAAATTGACCACAAACTTTGAAATATCGTCTGATTGATGTTACATTCAAAGGAAACTGAATTACTTCATATATCTAAAAACAACATGTTTTAACGGCATATGTTATAATTCTAAGCATGCATGACTTTACATGTACCACAATGAGAGCGACGTCATACGTACAATTTGTGACATCGTTCGTGACAATTTATTACCCACCTTACACATTCCCTGTACACAAATTGATGACCCGTCCTTTTTGCACACTGTACCATTCGCCACAGGATCTTTGAATGTTGTATAAAAACCTTGACCTCGGGCGTGACATGTCAGCTCACACCTTCCGTCAACTTCAAAGTTCAAAGGTTACAATGAATAAGATTAAAACTAAAGAGAAATCGATATCTGTACATCTATAATTCCGTTTGAAAGGTTCTTGTCCGATCATGTCAAATTCTTAATATTTGTACTACAAAGTATGGCCTACTACATTAGATATCACACTTTAACAAATATGTTTAACCAGGGGAGATAATTCCGATAACATGCGGTTTAATCTTAATCAGGGGCGAAACTCACACAACATGTATGGAGCCCACCGATAACGCCCGTGACCAATGTCTTCTCCGTCGTGTGAGGAACAGAGTTCTTCTCTCAGTGATTTCTGTCCTGGTTGACAAACCTTCAACGATAAAAACGGTTGTTACAGTGATGATGACCAAAATTAAACAGTCTAAGCAACATTGATATGAAATGTGTTGTCTCTAATTAACATAATTAGTCTGATATATAACGGACCCCACAGATTCAGTCAAAATCGAATCGCTTTAACTATTCGTTTTGGGTTTAGATATTAATATCGTCATAAGCAAACTGACACTATATCAGCAGAAATCTTTAAAGGAAATATAAAGCTTAGAAAAAGAAACGGCATTGATATACTGTTGGTAAACTGCTTATGCTTGTTGAATTCTGACGGTATATCGAGGTTTGACCGTATAGAGAAAGTTGTCATAGCAGAGTATTATTGACAATAAGAGGTGTCATATGATTAAGATATAGGTCTGACAGTATATCGAGGTTTGACCGTATAGAGAAGGCTGTCCTAGCGGGGTATTATTGACAATGAGAGGTGTCATATGATTAAGATATAGGTTTGACCTTATAGAGAAGGCTGTCATAGCAAAGTATTATTGACAATAAGAGGTGTCATATGATTAAGATATAGGTCTGACGGTATATCGAGGTTTGACCGTATAGAGAAGGCTGTCCTAGCGGGGTATTATTGACAATGAGAGGTGTCATATGATTAAGATATAGGTTTGACCTTATAGAGAAGGCTGTCCTAGCAGAGTATTATTGACAATGAGAAGTGTCACATGATTAAGATATAGGTCTGACGGTATATCGAGGTTTGACCGTATAGAGAAGGCTGTCCTAGCGGAGTATTATTGACAAAGAGAGGTGTCATATGATTAAGATATAGGTTTGACCTTATAGAGAAGGCTGTCCTAGCAGAGTATTATTGACAATGAGAAGTGTCACGTGATTAAGATATAGGTCTGACGGTATATCGAGGTTTGACCGTATAGAGAAGGCTGTCCTAGCAGAGTATTATTGATATTGAGAGTTGTCATATGATTAAGATACAGGGAAGCGAAAAGTCGTACATATTCTCAACTGAGTTCTTTGCTTAAAAGAGAAATGGAACAGACAGGGAACCGAAATCATATCCTTCATATGTCGAGAAAATTACCGAAAGAAAAATATATAAATAATTGTGTCATACCTGGGTGTTACAAACTTTAAACTGTGAGCTTTTTCCATGGCAACTAGAAAAAAATAAACAAGTATTAGGTAATGGCAGACCAGTCACGAGATAAATAAGTGTCATTTCGATAGTTGTTGTGCATATCTTTAACCAAATAAGGAAGTACATTTAACATGTGTAATTCTATGTACAGCCGATACAATATACATCATTACTGATATAAATGTAAATGTGAATTTTTTTAAATGTTGCTAAGAGCGACATTTTCCCTAACAGCCATTGCACAGTAAAACGTCCTCATATTCGTGTTTTGAATATCAATATAATTCCCAAAATATATATGTTATGGTAAATATCTTATATCCTCCTGGATTTATTGAACACTTACGCGTGGTTTTCCCTAATACATGACCTGTCCCGGGTCATTGACCCAGTCCCACACTGGGCGTTACATCCGGACCATTCACTCCAGGGACCCCATCCGTGGTTGTGATGTAGGTAGTCCTGAAATGACATAAGATAAATAAGATAGATCAGTTATCTCCCTTAGTGCAGTCAGCAAACTGCATTAAATTATAAAATGACTTAGTTACGATATACGAGAAGAAATCTTGCTGGATCTCTCTCCTCGAAAGCTGTACAAATTTTCTTTGTACACAGCGAATTTTAATTAAAGTGTTCCCTCTATATGATGTAGTATTCAGTTAGAGTCTTATGTCCCATGAATAAGGAAATAACGCGGATTCTCTCCACCTATTCAAATACCTCTCACACGACACTATCGACAAAGCAAAGGTATCGGATAAGTCGCTGTTTAAACGGGTTTTTTTTTTTCTTTTTACATCCGAAAGAAATGTCTGTGTTGATTCTCGCAAAAACAAAATAAAAACTTCCATAATATTCAACCTCAATCATGTACAATGTTTATTTCAGATCAAAAAATTTAAACTTTTATTTTTGACTTAAGGGATAAGGTTTCGATTTCATATCGGACAAAACAAGGTATCTTATCTTGGTACTCTTTAAGTGTTATGCCAGAGCACACTGTCTGCTTTATGCTGGACTGACAATTACGCTTGTACATGAAACTCGCATAATTTCTTTAAATTGTTAAAGATAATCAAATTTAACTTAAATCAGATGCCGTCGCTATAAATGATGGTTGTTATGGAGAAATAGTTGATAACAAGCGGTCAGTGATCAGCAGGATTTGTTGAAGTGATAGAAAACGAATAGATGGATTTGAATACGATGGTAGGTGATATTTAAGACATTGCTCGTTGGCTGAAAGGCCGAGATGTTAAATGAACATAATATGAAATAGGTCAGCAACAGAAAAGAATCAGTTTACAAATATTTTTTCTAAGTTATGTTTATAATAATTTGATATTTGATTCCATTTCTTAGTAAATCTATACAATCATCACGATTTTGTTTCATTTTATGTCGCAAAACTCACAAAAAATGGGGGGAAATATCTGTGATTCAATTCATAAATCTCATACGAAATGGTTGCTGTAGTTTAACTACATATGGTTTTTTTTCTGCGTCTCGACATGTGTCACGAGAAAATGTTGATCTATGATGTAACAGCACGAGCATTTTTTAAACTCCTATACATGTGTTTGATATTCAATATTGTTTACAAACATTTACGTGCGTATCAAACGTATTTTGATAACCTGTCAAAGTGTTAGATACACCACAAAAACGTCAACAAACAAGCGCAATGAAATACATGAAAGCATTTTCAATACAAAACTATACTTTTCAAAACAGTCCTCTTCAAAGACAACGCCGTCACTACCATTTTAAAAAATCACACACATGAAGAGGTTTCAATAAAAACTTATATATATCAGCGCAAAAACAAATTGTTATATCTGAACAGCCCGCCAGAGGGAGGCAGCATATTCTGGATCTGGGTCATATCCACGCTTGAAAAGAAACAAGTCAAAGTTGTGATATCTCCGATAACTCCCCTACATAATTTATAGATTAATTCTCGGCGGGACACGGACGATCTAGATCCCAAAATCTGCTTGCATACTCATGCAATATTCTCGTGTTAGAATGGCTGTGTATTATATCATTACAAAACACCATTCTCATAATATCAACACCATATCATTAAGTCACGGACAATTTAAAAATGAAATTGAAACCAGTGCATAAATTATGTCAAGATATGAATAATGCAACAGTCTTATCCTATAAGATCATCATGACATCATCTGGTTTTGGAACCTATGGTAAAATATTCCCATTTGATGTTTTGAAGTGAGGTCGATTTGTGTCACTTAATTTTTTTTGTTTTTGTTTATTTTTTATCTATTTTATTTTTACTTACATACATTTTTATAGCGAGCTCTTTAAGATATTGTGTGTGAAAATTTAAAGTGAGTACACAAAATCTCCAACAACAAAAAACCAAAACCAGCAAAGCTGCATATGTGATCAGTTTAGGGCAGTTGGCACACTGAAACACTCCCTGTAGATCTACAAAACACTCCTTCAAGCGCCCATGTGGCGATAATAAGACGCCCCAATGCTCCAAAAACGGGTAAACTTATAAAACTTTATACACGATAATAAACTGGAACTACGAATACAAAAAAAAAAGAATGTCCGGAAAAGTATATATAACTGTCCGGTTTAAAGCGCACTAAAAAAAACGGAGAAAGTCGTACTAAGGCAGGTAGTCTAGTTCACATACAGAATTGTCAGCGCTAGCCCATTTTATATTTACAAAGTGTGACATACATACTGATAATACAATCAAACTGTGCTCGCTCTGAAGCAGTTCTTGTTTTATGTCATTTTACGTGAAGAATTGTGTATTAGAAGTCCTGAGTTTACACAAACAGGCAAGACATACAGTGTGCGATACCTGTAGCTTTTGACAGTGTCTGATTTATAGAGGCGCCCGTGTTACTTGTCTTGTTACTACAGAGTTCGGTTCAGACAGGTTCAACTGTTACAAGAGTGAACCAGACCTAAATTACTCGGGGGGAAACGATAATCAGCACGGAACAGAAGGATCTAACATGCTATAACGAAGACGGAAGGAATGTTTTAACTAATGTTGACAGTTGGAAATTCTGCCAATATCATTTCGTTATATTTGTAATATTTGGCGCAGATACCTATATAACACGCTAATTTTTATATATCACATAATGAGATTTCTATGGCTGTCGAACCGTCTAACGCTGCAGCGGTGCACATAAACCTGCATATTGTGTTTACAGACACTGGGATATATATCACTGAAATGCACATCCCTATAGCGTAATGATAAACAACACACCCTCCGAGATTTCAGAAGTTTGACGTATCACCTCATTTTCTGTTATATGAACTACAGCACCTGTTTTCTCGGGAAATGAAAATCATATACCTTTTCAACATTTGTTTTATGTTGTACAACGTTCAACTGCTGATACAAATGTTTCAAATGCACTTTCAAGTTACATGTACCATTAAACTCTGGTATACAAATTCTATCTATTTCAATTATGCGAGATCTTGAAATGCAAGCCTCGAAAAAGTATTTGAAATCGGTCATATCTCTAAAAATCACTCATTCAATACATCTTTCTGGTACCAGGGACTTTAATCTGCAGACTTCTATGCCTGTAAAAACTATTTTGCTTTTTTTAAAATAACAAATAACAAAACATCGACTTGTCATTCGTCTTCTGGAGATCGTACTCCAAATATCTGAAATGTCCTGTAATCACCGTACTCTGCCTTTGACCAAAAGTAATCTAGCTCATGGTCAAAGAGTGTACCATAACCGTATTCTATAAAAAAAGACTGATGGACATTTTTATCGAGATAAATTGACCTTCTAGAATGACCAGCAATGTTTCGTGTTTATCATTCTGTCAGAGAAACCATCCTTCCGCAAACTCTTCAAACACACACCAATATTTCTTCAAGATGCACGACATAATCATCATTGAAATTGAACCTCGCTGTGTGATCAATGCGGAATGTCAACACCAATCAATTGACGAGAGAATGGACAGAGAAACGACAAATTGGTCAACAGATGCGACTGTGACGCGCCATTGTCCAGCGGTCAATGAAGTCAAGACGATATAACTTTTAAGATTACTTGCAGGTCAACCTTATGTCAAGGTCACCATCATGTCCGCGCTGTACGTGTGTACACAGCTTTCATCAGACTAATAAAATCAACAATGTAAATATTTGTTTTTTTTCTTTCATTTATCGTATCAAAACTATTATACATCACATTTGAACTGAAAATGCCAAAAGCTTTTAATCGTTTTGGTTAGTGTTTACCGTGTGTACCGTGTTTATCTGTGTTTACCGTGTGTACCTCACACATTGTTAAGTATTTTCAACTTTTGTCACATTGTGTTTACTGGCATACAATTACCTGTGTTTACCTGTCATAAGTTGAACTGTTCACCTGACACACGTTTATCTGTGTTAACTTGACATACGTTTATCTGTGTTTACCTGACAAACGTTTACCTGTGTTTACCTGACACACGTTCATCTGTGTTTACCTGACACACGTTTATCTGACACACGTTTATCTGTGTTTACCTGACACACGTTTATCTGTGTTTACCTGACATGCATTTATCTTTGTTTACCTGACACACGTTTATCTGTGTTTACCTGACATACATTTATCTGTGTTTACTTGACACACGTTTATCTGTGTTTACCTGACACACGTTTATCTGTGTTTACTTGACACACATTTATCTGTGTTTACCTGACACACATTTATCTGTGTATACCTGACACACGTTTCTCTCTGTTTACCTGACACACGTTTATCTGTGTTTACCTGATACACGTTTATCTGTGTTTACCTGCCACACGTTTATCTGTGTATACCTGACACACGTTTATCTGTGTTTACCTGACACATGTTTATCTGTGTTTACTTGACACACGTTTATCTGTGTATACCTAACACACGTTTATCTGTGTTTACCTGACACACATTTATCTGTGTTTACCTGATACACGTTTATCTGTGTTAACCTGACACATGTTTATCTGTGTTTACCTGACACACGTTTATCTGTGTTTACTTGACACACATTTATCTGTGTTTACCTGATACACGTTTATCTGTGTTTACCTGACACATGTTTATCTGTGTTTATCTGACACATGTTTATCTGTGTTTACCTGACACACGTTTATCTGTGTTTACCTGACACACGTTTATCTGTGTTTACCTGACACACATTTATCTGTGTTTACCTGACACACATTTATCTGTGTTTACCTGACACACGTTTATCTGTGTTTACCTGACACACGTTTATCTGTGTTTACCTGACACACGTTTATCTGTGTTTACCTGACACACGTTTATCTGTGTTTACCTGATACACGTTTATCTGTGTTTACCTGACACATGCTTATCTGTGTTTATCTGACACATGTTTATCTGTGTTTATCTGACATACATTTATCTGTGTTTACCTGCCACACGTTTATCTGTG